TACATCACCACCCAAATGGCCTCCAATTGTTTGATGGACATAGAGTCAATATAGGCTAGTCATGCTGAAGAAGGTATCAGTGGTGGCCTCTCAAAGAATCTGGTTCTGGAAGTGAAGTAATTTCACATTACTCATTTGGGTTAGTAATGCTTGCAACCCAAATTCAATTTTTTCAATAATATGTTCAAAAAGCACATAATTTGGGTACTAGCTGGGATTTAAGTAGTAAGTTTTTATAAAGGCTGGTAATGATCAGTTTCAAAGGAGATGGGTTACCTGGGCGTTGAGGACTTTCCTTTTTGTTTGCTAATGTGTTTTACTCATCTAAGAGGATTAAAGGATTGCTAAGGACAGGAATCTTGACCTTAACAAGTCAGAAATGTAGGATTCACAGGTATAGATGGAATATGACCTAGGAAGGCCTTAGCAACATCTGTGAACCTATATATGTAAGGCCATTGATTTATCAGAAGCACTAAATATTATTTATAATACAAAAGAGTAGGCTAGCCTCTTGATCACACAGAATGCTAACTGACCCTTACAATGGGGTGTATACCCATGTTGAAAGGTGTGCAATTTACTCCAATCTATGTTTCTTTAGACTGGTCAGCATATTGGGGAAATAAAGTAACTTAACAGACTCTTTAGAGATCACTTCAAGATTCAGTTTTTTTAAAAAATCATTTATTGGTCTAGTCTCTTCATTTCTATCTTACCTTTTCATAATCTAACCTACACACTATTCCACATTAATTTTTCATACTAAACTCTAATCACATTATTCTACTCCACAAATGTTAACATCTCTCCATTATCTACCAAATTAAGTACAAATTACAGTCCGGCAATTCAATGATTTCCACAAAAATAGCCCCAATCTATCTTTCTTGATTTCCTAGTATTGCGCCTACATACGTATACACCCACAAGCTCATTCCTCCTGCAAGCTCTGGGTAATAGGCAACATTAGGTTAGTAATGGTTGTTGCCCCAGAGATAAAGGAGGAGAAGAAAACAGCCAGCTCTCCACCCCCACCCCAACAGAGAGGCTGGGAAGTGAACACTGGTCTATAGCTTTCTGAAAGAGATTTGTGTCATGCTCTTGCTTAAAACCATTACAGTAAGATATTTTTAAACCTGGGACCAGGATGTGGCTAGAATTTCAGGGTTCTGTGAACTTGGATGGGGAAAAAACTGCATCTTTATTTTCAATAACCTGTAGGTGAAATTTAGCATTTTCTTCCGTAAGTGTAGGCAATAAACTACAGTAGTACTAGCAGTCCCTATGTCTTTGTCACTAATAAAAATCTGATATTTTCATATCACATTAAAGTTGTTGTGGGTGTCTTGAAATACAATGCATACTCATCGCAACTTTGAAATTACATGAGACCTGCTGCCAGATGTTATCTAATGCATAACGAAGCACATATATAACTACATCGCACATTTGTTTTAATATTTTAAAAACTTTGAAAAACACTGGCTTCCTTTATATTTCTATTTATTTACTTTACACATTTAAAAACCTTTTCTGAGATCAAGTCTATAGGCCAGACTGCCAAAGAGTTTCGTGGTGTAAAAGAGGTTAAGAACATTTGTTATCTATATTTATTAATTGCTTACAGTATATAATCTAAACTCTTCAGCATGAAATTGAAGGCTCCTTATAACCTGTTCATATTCACTTTATCATCTTCATCTCTGCTCCACCCCTACTCTCCATACTATGCTCTAGCCATACCAGACAACAGTAACTCTTATCTGGAGGCAGGGAGACAGGTTTTTGAATTAACCCTAGTTAACAGCAGCCATGTACTATCTTGGGCTTTACTTTATACAGCACTCCTCTGCCTACCAAATGAATTCTTCGTTTAAAGGTCTGTTTTCCCTGATGGAGGCAGGGAGACAGGTTTTTGAATTAACCCTAGTTAACAGCAGCCATGTACTATCTTGGGTTTTACTTTATACAGCACTCCTCTGCCTACCAAATGAATTCTTCGTTTAAAGGTCTGTTTTCCCTGATATATATATATATATTTTTAAAAGATGACCGGTAAGGGGATCTCAACCCTTGGCTTGGTGTTGTCAGCACCACGCTCAGCCAGTGAGCAAACCGGCCATCCCTATATAGGATCCGAACCCGTGGCCTTGGTGTTATCAGCACCGCACTCTACCGAGTGAGCCATGGGCCGGCCCTTCCCCTGATATTTTGTGATTCTAACAGAGATGTACAAAAGGTTTTCAAAAGGTGCATGGAAAATGTGTATTATGAAAAAATTATTCATGAATTGCAAAATTTTTTTGCACCAAAATAAATTCATACTAACTTATAATATGTCTGAACAGGCTCTAGTTTGATGCACTAAGGCGGATAAGATATTAGATAGAAAAGTGCTCCTATCAGAGCAACATGAATTCTGCTAAAATTGAAGCAAGAACAAATATCAAATTTATGGTGAAGCTTGGGCAAAAGAATGGTGAAACCATTGATGCTTTATGAAAAGTTGATGGAGACAATGCCCCAAAGAAATGAGTAGTTTACAAATGGATAACTTGCTTTAACAAGAGACGAGATAATGTTGAAGTTAAAGCCCTCAGCAGCAGACAACCACATCAATTTGTGAAGAAAAAATTAATCTTGTTCATGCCCTAATTGAAGAGGACCGAAGATTAATAGCAGAAACAAAAGCCAATACCATAGACATCTCAACTGGTTCAGCTTATACAATTCTGACTGAAAAACTACAGTTGAGCAAACTTTCCACTCCATAGGTGCCAAAACTATCAGATCCGCATCAGCTGCAGACAAGAGCAGAGCTCTCAACGGAAAATTTAAACAAGTGGGATCAAGATCCTAAAGCATTTCTTCAAATAGTTGTTAACAGGAGGTGAAGCATGACTTTACCAGTATAATCCTGAAGACAAAGCACAAACAAAGCCGTGGCTACCAAGAGGTGTAAGTGGTCCAGACAAAGCAAAAGCAAACCAGTCAAGAGCAAAGGTCATGGCAATGGTTTTTTGGGATGCTCAAAGCATTTTGCTTGCTGACTTTCTGGAGGGCCAAAGAATGACAACATAATGATTTTTATCATGAGAGTGTTTTGAGAAAGTTAGCCAAAGCTTTAGCAGAAAAATGCATGGGAAAGCTTCACCACAGAATGCTTGCCCACCATGACCATGCTCCTGCTAATTCCTCTCATCAAACAAGGGCAATTTTGGGAGAGTTTCTATGGGAGATCATTAGGCGTCCACCTTACAGTCCTGATTTGGCTCCTTCTGACTTATTTTTGTTTCCTAATCTCAAAAATGTTTAAAGGGCACTCATTTTCTTCAGTTAATAATGTAGAAAAGACTGCATTGACATGGTTATATTCCCAGGACCCTTGGTTCTTTAGGGACGGACTAAATGGCTGGTATCATTGCTTACAAAAGTGTCTCGAACTTGACAGAGCTTACATTAAGAAATAAAGTTTATATTTTTTATTTTTATCTTTCAGTTCCATTTTTCCGTGAACTTTCTGAAGTCTCCCTGTATTTCAGACTTCTTTATAGCTTGTTCCTAACTTAAACGATTAATGAAATGAATAATAGAAGACAGATTCCAAATTGCCAAGGCACTGTGTGTAGTAATCTCTAGAGGAGGGAACATTAATCTTTGTATCTCATAAATTGACTTAACTCTGGTCTTTTTGAGGACAGAAACAGGGATGACCCTTGAGCTCTAAGGCTAGAGACGCAGCTGATAAATCCTGTATGGAAGGGAAATGAAGAAGAAAGAGCAGTAATTGAGGTGGTCCTGATAAAGATTGAGGGATGGAACTGTGTTGAAAGGAAAAGCAAGAGTGGTTCCTCCCATTTCCCAGAGCAGTTATTCAAAACTACCATCACTCAAGCTTCTCATTCCAGTCCCAACTCCCCCTCTTACCAAAGATCCCCATCTTAATGTTTCAGAGACAACTCCCTCAACTTTCTGCCCTTCCCTACTTCCCATCTTTTTCTTCTCTCTAGTTTAGTGGGTCTCAACCCTTATCATTAGAGTCACCTAGGGAGGTTTAATAAAAACAATGATGACTGGCCCTAACCCAGTTTATTTAATTGGTCCAGGGTGGGAAAACAGCATTGGTTTTAAAAAGGAAAAGAAGCTTCCTAGCTGATTCTGATGTGCACACAAGTGAGTTCCACTAATGCTCTTGATCCTATAAATCAGCCTCCCTCACCCTTGAACTGTCTACCTCTTGGTTCCATGGTATACCTTTATGCCTAGGAGTCTCCCATTTTTAAAGAAACCATTCTTGCGGCCCACATTCTTGTTCCTCATTTCTCTCGCTGTTTGTAACGATGCTTTTAAAGTGATGCTTTAAAAGGTCTACACCAGTATGGTTTCCAACAGGTATATTCTACTCCTCTAACTTTTTACTCTTCCAGACCAATACTGTCATATGATTTTGCCCCCCATCATTCTCTCTGCTTCTACCTCTTCTTCCATTTCTTTGGCCAGCTACTGCTTATTAGTCGTTTAAACACAAGTCCTTTAAGAGTGACCCAAAGATCACCTTGGAAAGGGTTTTCTTACGTCCTCCTACACAATCAGGGGCCCCTATGCTTCTCAGAGACCATTCTGTATTTTTTTTCTATTATAATTTTACGGCGCTACCACTGCGGATTCTCTCACCGTTTCCTATATAAAAGAGCACTTCAAAAAGCTGTGACTATTTCATTCGCCTCTGACTTCCTGCCACCTTAGGCATGGAAACCACTCAGTGAAAAGACAGGAATGAATGGAAAGTAAGGCTCGGAAACGGAGGTCGGGGGCGGAGACAAGCGGTGGAGGGGGGCGTGCGCGTCTGGAAAGGGGCGGGGGCTATGGGGGGGGGCCCGAGAAAACAGCGCCAGAATGGGGAGGGGGCGCGGATACGCCAGAGTGTGAGTGGGCGGCAAAGCGATCCACTGCCAGGACAAACTGAGACAAATCGACGTGGGGAGGCGGCTTCTTACCTGCCTCGGGCCTCACCACCCCAACCAGCCTTCAGGAAACTCAGTATTGGCTGTAAAGCAAAAGCTACGGTCGCAAACCCAGAATTTTCTTCCCCAACCGTGCGACATTTCTCTCTAACAGAGGGAGAATCTAAGGCTGTTTCCAGCTCTGCCGTAAGGTGAGGAAGAAAAATTTGGGCGGGGAAGCCCAGGGCGGAGGAAGTTGGGGGTGTCCGCGCAAGCGCATTCTGCACTCTGGCTGCGTCACGTGCGGGGGCGGGGCCGGGCGGGGCCGGCCCGGGGCTGGCAGTAGGGGGCGTGGGAGGTAAGTGCGCGCGCGCCTGCTCGCCTGCAGCCGAGGAGTCGCGCGGGGCGGGGCCTCGTGCGCGGGGTCGGGGGCGCGCGGGCCTAAGCGGCTGAGGGACTTGGAGGCGGTTGGCGGTGACTGCTGAGTCCGGCTAGCACCGTGAGAGGCTGCGGCGGAGGCAATCGCGGCACCGGCAGAAGAGACAACAGCGGTCGAGGCGGCTGTCCAACGCGTGCTCTCTGGGCGGAGTGCGGCGGGGGATGTGCCGGCCCAGGCCGGGCGGAGTCTCCCTGACAGGGCGGGGGATGCTCGGCGGCTGCTCGCTCGGACCCTGAGGCTGCAGGGCCCACCCTCTCGGAACCGTCGGACCGTCGGACCCTCGGTGGCCTCAGCCTCTGCTGCCTCCTTCGGCCTGAGCCTAGGGCCGAGTGTGGGAAGCGGCTTCCGCCGAAGAGGAGGGGGCTGCGGTGGCCACCGCGGCGGATCCCGAGGTAAGACCCGCCCAAGCGCCCAGCGGCCCTGCTGCCCAGCCCGGCCCACGTCTCAGTCTTGTTCTTTGGCTCCCGCAGGGCCGCCCCGCCCCAGCGGAGACGCCCCGCGAGCGCGTCAGCCCTGGAGCCTCCTAAAGACCTGATCACGGCCCCGGATCCCCAATAGACCCCACCCCTCTTATCTTCCATTGGCCAAATACCGTACCAGTCCTCCAGCATCCCTGGCGTTTCTGTCACAGACCCCCCCTCCACCCCCGGCAGACCCCATTAGAACCCCCTCACATTCTCTTAGGACTTCTAATGGAGCCTCCATACTCAGTTACATCCTCTCATGAGCTGACCCGATCACAGTTGCCGAGGTACAGTCACGACCGCCTCCTAAACCCATTGCGACCCCCAGCTCCTAGACAGATCCGTCGTTGTCCTCCGCACTTAGACCCCCCTGCCAGCCCGCTCACTGCCACGCCGACTAGCTCTTCCCCTGCCCATCGCGGCTTTCAGAGAGTCTATGTCATGATGTTCTTACCTCCTAGTAGATGTGGTTTCAGCCCCTCTAATCACCATCACAGACTTCGGCCTCTCTCCCAACCCCTACTGTAGCCTCTCTCACAGACCTCTCCTCAAGCCGACTTTGTTGTCTTTCTCCCCAGTTGTGATTCTTACTTTAGTTGAAAGGGCTTTGCCATGAAATCTGAGGCAATGTTTGCTTAGCCCAGTGTATTCCCGCCAGTGGGCCGTGAGGAGACCGACTGAGACCCTTGTTTGGAGGGTTTGGGCTGGCGGCTAAAGGAGGGAGAGGGAAGAGGATGGAAGCACAGGGCAGGGTGTGTTGTGCCATTGTAAGGTCACACAGCCTGCTCCTTATGTTCTCGCTTCTGTAGAACGTGTGGAGTATTCCAGATCTGATCTTTTAGGTGCCTCTATAAGGATTGTCACATTACACTAATGACTGTAACTATGTCATCATGTAGTATCATTTACTTCATCTCCTTGTTGATTTCTACAGATGCTTTGCACTGTTTTTTAAGGATACTAGGGGACTTTTCGTTTTTTTGGACTCGCTGTCTTTGAATTTGGTAGAAAAAGATTTGTTAGCTTTCCTTAGTCCTTGAAGGTTTTAATATCAGTTTTTTTTGGTGGGAAGGGGCGGCTGGCCTGTAGGGAGATCCAAACCCGTGACCTTGGCGTTATAAGGCTGTGCTCTAACCAACTGAGCTAACGGACCAGCCCCCCTCTAATGTCAGTTTAATAATAAATGTCTGCCACTTGGTGCTGCTTTCTTCTCCAAGGAACAGTACAAAAATCATGCAGTGTTCACTAATTTCTTTACCAACAGTCTTCTCGATAGTAGTAAAGTACTGAATAAAATATTTGTTGAACTCGAGCTTCAAGAAGAAAATGTAACGTTACATCAGATGATCAGTGCATAATTTTAACGCTGGTATAGGGATGAAGTATAAAGAGTTCTTTGTAGTCAGTACTTCAAAATTTTTTATTTTGTTGTGTGTGTGTGTGTGTGTGTGTGTGTGTGTGTGGAACAGAGGAGGGATAAAATCATATAAAAGTTGTAGGTAGTAACTAGACATAGTATAAAAGTCAAAAGGTTCAGAAGAGTAATATAGTAAAAAGTTTCTCTTCCTCCTTTATCCTTCAGCCACCCATTTTCCCTCTTTAGAGGCAACTACTATTTCCAACTTCTGTGTATCCTTCCTCTGATATTTCCAGCATATACAACTGTGTATCCTTCCTCTGATATTTCCAGCATATACAAGCCTATACGTTATATTCTTAAGACACACACACCATGCACAAAAAGGTGCATACTGTACACTCTGTATATAGCTCATTATTTTCACTTAATACTAGATTCTGGAGATCATTCAGTTACAATGCGTATGGAAGTGCCTCGTTTACTGGCTGGATAGTATTCCATTTTGGTAGAATTGAGGTTATTTTCAGTCTTTTGCTTTTACAAACAATGCTGCATGCTTCTCTTTTATTGTATCAGCTGTTACATGTATGTTTAAATAATTTTTATGATTTGAAACAAATTCCTGATGATGCTTTTGTGTTGATCCTACAAAAAAGGAGAACAACCAAAGTAAATTTCTCTTTGAACCTCTGAGCTTCCATGGTGCGACTAGTTTTGATGATGATTATAATAATTATCAGATAAATTATTCAAGTATTTAAAGCAGAGGACTGAAATGATCAAATTTGCATTTTTAAAAGGTCACTCTGGCTGCAGTGAGGACAGTGGATTGAAGAATAGAATAAGGCTAAGGGCAAGAATATCAGGAAGGTAATCCAGGCAAATGATGATAGTGGGTCTGAACTTGGGTATTGAGCGTTAACGGGACTTGGTGATTTGATTGGATTTAGGGTTAGAGAGAGAGTGCATAGAGGATAAAATCCAGGTTTCTAGCTCTTGCTTTTCACTGAGATGGGGATCCACATGAAGGAGGATTGGGATTTTAATTTTGTCGACAAAGAAGGGAGAAAGGGGTGCAATTTGTGACATGTCAAGTTTGGGTAACTATAGTTCCATCAGATGTAGATGGTCAATAGGCAAACTGAATTTGTGTCTGAAGCGCAATATCTGGATTGGTAGCAATAGATTTTGGAGGCAAAAGACTGTAGTGAGAGGAGAAAAGGTCTTAGGATGGAAACAACATTTAAAGTAAAGGTAGAGTTGAATGTCTGTACTAGTAAATTATATGATTAAGTTCCTTAAAAATCTTATTATAGTTTAAGCATCTAATATGTAACTTTTCAGCAGCTTTTTTCCTTAATTAATTTAGTGATGCATAGTTAGACTTAGGGGTAAACATAGGTTTTTTTTAAAGAGTACAGCCTCAGTAGAAATTAGTAATATAAACCCCATCTCTCCTAATCATTTGGATTATACTATGTAGAAGTTTGTCCAGTCTTTAGTATTTGCAAAGAAGTACAGGAGGTTTGAAAATATGGTTTGCCAAGAATATTAACGTTTTTAGTTCGAATGATTTTTATTTATATTAACTAAGTTTGAAATAAATATTAGTTTAAAACTTTTCAGACGTTTTAAAAACCACATCAACTTAACGTATTGATTCCTAAATCTAGAGCTGCTGTCTAGAGCTCTTGCCTTTGCTGTAGACCCCTGTAAGCCTAATGGACATCTCCACTTGGATTCACATTTCACGAGCACTTCAATCCAAGCATATACAAAACAAAACTCTTCCCTGCCTCTCTTTTCCCCCAAACAGTGGGGGGTTGGGAGAACCAAACTGCAGCAAAATTTTTTCTTCCTTCTGATATCCTATCTTGATTAATGGCATCACTCTCTCATGAAGTCTTCAGGAATCTGAGGATCATCCTCCTCTCTACTCTGTACCTCACTGCCAGCATCCAGTTAGTCACTAAGTTTTGCACATTCTCTCTCATGATATTTCAGATAATTTATTGCTTTTTTTGTTGTCTCTACCTTATTTTCACCCAGATGTCTGTTGGGCTTCCTTCTGTAATGCTTTCTAAGTGCTCTTCTTGCCTTTTGTCTTCTGCCTCTTGTTTTACCATACCCTCTAGTTTGTTCTTTGCACTGCTGCCAGAGTAATTGTTCTAAAATGCTCTTTTAGTTAGGCTCTTTCAGTTGCAAGGAAGAGACTCAAGTTACTTGAACTAATGGAGTGCTTATTGAAAGGAAAAGTGCACAAGGGAACCCAGAAAAAGTTACACATCTTGATCCCAAGAAGAACAGGAACCTAATAATAAAGCTGGAAGCAGGAGAATACAGGCTTCCTTCTAGTGCACTATTGTTAACTTGTCTTAGCTACTCTTTCTTTCTAGTTTATTCTCTCTCTACTCCATTTTTCCTCCCTCTATCTCATAGCTTCACTTTATTCCTTGTTTCTGCTCTTTATAACTACTGTGTCACCCCCATGGCAATATCTTGCCCCTTGACTGCTATATTTTTAACTTCAGGTCCTGTTGCTAACTTTTTCCTTCTCCCCAGGATTTTCTGGTTTGAATTCTCAAGAAACAATTTTTTTGGATCAGCTCTTTTTCTTATTGGCTGCTAGAAAACCTGTGTTCTTTGGATTATGTGATCACTCCTGGCCATGTAGTGTTGGCTGTGTGTTTGTATGTACGTATGGTTGTGGGGTAGGATCATAGTGGTGAAAAGTATGGGGCAGTGTGTAGGCTAATTTCCCACAAAATGGCATTCTGAGCATAGCAGGCACCATAATTGACATGTATAGTACAAATACAAATCAAATGATGTCTTTTCCTATGAAAGATCTTCAGTGCTTTTGGATAAAGTTTAAAC